ACCACGACGATGAAAAAATTGATAACAACAGTAAATAAGATGTAGATAACAACAATGATTAGAATATAGTTAATAACAATGATTAGAATATAGATAACAACAGTAATAAAGATATTGTTAATAACAATAATTCGAATATAACAGTATTTTTAATACAGATAACAACAATAATTAGAATATAGATAACAATGGTAATAATGACAGTGATAATGATAAAAAGGATAACTAAAACAAAGTTATGTAAGGAAGACGTCATTTCAGAAATAAGAAGACTGCAAAAGTGTTACAAGATGAGAAACGACCTTATGAGACGCAAGACAAGAATTAAAGTTTTTTTTTTCTAAAGCAAGTCCTTTTTAAGGCATGCAACAGTCCAGACTAAATATAATTTTCTATAACGAGACGAGAAAATTGCCGCGCTTCTAAACAAAGACAAAAGAAAACGGAACATTTCCCCTTAACCCCCAACTAAAAAAAAATATACAAAAACAGAGAATCTTAACTAATCTCAAGATATTTCATTCACAAAGGGATACAGACAAAAGACAGATGGCTTATGGGCAAGAAACGGTCGCTACAAACACGCAATTCGCATGTAAACAGACTCCAATTGCCAACAGGTGAAAATAATTTTTGCTTATTCAGTTGATGAAATCTGTAGCGATGTTATTTTCACAGTGATGAAACTTGGTTCTGGATGTTAGGGAAATGTCAATATACAACACAGAATTTCCGTATGCCTATTCTATAGTTACTTGTGCCAAGGGGCTTATGTTTTTGTTAGCGCTGGTTAGTTAGTTTGTTTGTTTCATGGTTCGCAGGATAACTCAAAAAGTTATGAACTAATATTTATTATTTTTTTTACCAGAGGTGTGTCTATGTCATTAAATTTAGGTGGTGATCCGAAGTTTTTTTTTAATGATTGCATTAGTTATAGGGGTAACTATTATTACTAACAGCATTGCGCGACAGGGACAACTTTTGGCGCTTGAATTATCATTGTTATCCTATTGCCTTGGCAGAGGTATGAGCTCTCTGAGTGCTTCTCGTTCGAAATCATTATAATAGCTAGAACACTACATTGAAGTGATGTTGATGCACGATAATTTCGTTATCTATATATAGTAACATTTATGATATATATATATATATATATATATATATATATATATATATATATATATATATATACATATACATATATATTCATACATATACACATACACATATATATGTATATATATATATATATATATATATATATATATATATATATATATATATATATATATTATATATACATACATATATATGTATATATATATATATATATATATATATATATTATATATATATACATATATATATATATATATTATATATATATATTATATATATATTATATATGTATATATATAGCTAGATAGATATATAGATAGACACAATCATGCCTGCAGTATATAATATACGGGTATGAAAAAAGAAATAAGAAGAAATTTTCAGAACAGAAATTTAGTACTGTAATGAAATAAAGAGAGAGAAAATTAGAAGGAAAAAAAGAAACAAACACACACACACGCACACACACACACACATATATATAAATGGGTAGATATATATAGATATAGCAATATACACTTATGCATATATGTGTGAGTGTGTGTGTATGTGCGTGTGTGTATGTATGTATGTATGTATGTATGTATGTGTACATATATTTCATACACAGAGCAAAAAAAAAAAGAAAAAAAAAGAAAAAGAAAAAAGAGTTAGAGTTCGGTCCGTCGGTCTTCGTGACACAGACTCGTAACCCCCCCCCTCCCCTCCCCTTCGTCCCTCCCAATCAATCAGATGTGTGAGCGCGTACATGCACTGTCAGTCACGGGACGACACAGAACGTACACAGGAAGAAAAAGAAGGAAAATTAAGTGAAAGGAGGTGGTATATAAAAAAAAAATTACCACTCTCTCTCTCTCTGTCTGACTGACTGTCTGTCTGTCTGTCTGTCTGTCTGTCTGTCTGTCTGTCTCTCTCTCTCTCTCTCTCTCTCTCTCTCTCCTCTCTCTCTCTCTCTCTCTCTCTCTCTCTCTCTCTCTCTCTCTCTCTCCTCTCTCTCTCTCTCTCTCTCTCTCTCTCTCTCTCTCTCTCTCTCTCTCTCTCTCTCTCTCTCTCTCTCTCTCTCTCTCTCTCTCTCCTTTGTCCGTGTCAATGGCAACCTTGAACTTGAAATGATTTTTATAAAGTATGCCTCTCCTCTTCTCTCGTTCTCTCTTTCTCTTTGTCTTTATCGTTCTATTCCCATTTTCATCCAATTCTTCTCTCCCCTCCCCAACGATCTAGCTATAATTCCTCAACAATTTCTGCCCCGAACCTGACTAACAGATAACGAGAATAAAACAACCAAAAAATCAGATGCAACTATCTCTTTCATTTAATCGATTTCCCCCAAAAAGGGAATGTTGTGATTACACGCATCCATAACTTCCCCAGATTGTTCTCACAGTCTCTAATCCGGATAAAAATCTGGTTTAAGGGGGGAAAAAAGTCAACATGGTCCCGTATTCCGGCCTCGTCAGCTCCCTCTTTCTCGTGAGTGGAAATGCGTATGTTTAGAGCGCTTACAATGCCTTTTACGAGAGGGATAAAGTGTATTCAGGTTTTGGGATGTAAGGCGAGGTCGGAGTTTTAGTTCGTGTGTTTATTATTGTGATTTCTGTTGTTCGTTATTCTTGTTGCAACATTATCTGTTATGTTGGTTATTATGATATAGCTATAATGATGACTGCAATAAATAATTAATCAAGGGTAACGTTAGATGTTAAAATTACTGTAATGGTGATGATAATATTTCAAGCAGAAATTGGTAATGATCACTTACAGCAATGCTAATGATAATGATATTAATGAAGCTGCTATAATGATAATGGTGACGATGATAATAAACTACTTTTTTGTGTTGTAAGAAAACACATTTAACAGCAACAATCACCATTTCTCAAGTCTAGTTCCTCTAAATTTTCGTTTTCATTTTCGCTCCTGAATAATAATGAACTGCGGATTGCTAATGAATATTCCTTTGTAACCTGCGCTTCCAAGAGTCATTTTTTTATTATAAATAATATGAATAATGATGTCTTAATTGACTTAATTTTGACGAAGTGATTACTAGCTAGAGTGGGTGTTCCTTTGTTTTATGATTGCACGGTTTGCAGTTGTTATTTTTTCTGTTGGTATTATTTGCTGTTGGCCT